AATAATTTGAGTTAGGAAAAAGATATTAAGATGCGGTTTGCGCAGGCTTATTGGTTGGTCATTTGTCTATTTTCTAGTCTAAAAAAAGTCATATCATCGCATTTAAATTTTTTGAGAAAATCCAATATTTTGGTTATAATATCGAATAACGCCCTCTATCGGCGGCCGTGTAGGTCGCAACTGTCATGATTACGAGAAACCTAAAAGCCCAAGAAATGCTCTTTTCAATGATACCAAATTTATCCAAATCCATTAAGCCGTTTCGAAGTTACAGGCATTTATTTCAAACAACATTCAAATACCCCCCACCACTTTATTTCGAAAGATAGAGAAAAATTGTTTTTACAAAAAATGTTCGACTTTAAGTTAACATTAAAACGCAAATACTTTTTTGTTACATTCATTGGGGAAAATCGTGAGAAACGTAACTTTATGTAATTCAATATGGTGGAAACGCCCACTGGCGGCCATCTTGGAAACTTGAAAATAATTTCCAGCATTTTCCCTTGCCCACTTTACCTATAAGACTTTTTACCGTAGCTCTCTACGATCACTAGTTTCTGAGATACAGCCGCTTACCTCGCTTATTTGCCCACCCTGTACAGGCTGTTTGGAATAGTTTGTACAAAATTTAAGGAGGTGAAAGTAGAGCCAAAAATAGTAAAAAGAGTTTCTATAAACATTGGTCTTCCGGAGCACCGTTATTCAGATATGGCGCTCCGAAGGAGTCTTATCATTTGGATATTTTTAAAAATAACTTTCTTTCTGATTAAGATAATGGAATGAAAATTGTAGGTAATAATAATAAGGAACTATATAAGTTTCATTAAAATCGGTTATAAATAAGGATAGTTTTCTAACACCCTTAAGGAGGTTTGCCTAATTTGGAATTGACGAACAAATATTCATAAAAAAAATTAATATAAGCTTATTAATAAGAAAATCCTCAAAAAAAATTATGACTAGTTTGGATACCCAAGAGACGAGATATTAATAAAATAATTTTTCACGATTCAGTACAGTCTTACGAGAAAGCAGATTTTTTTGGTCTTTCCACTTAGAATGCGCAGCAATTGACAAACAGTTTTTACAGCAACTCGTATAAATAGGAAACCGATATCTAAGGAACCGTATGACAGCTCGTAGAAATCGATTAGGTACTTGTAAGATACATAATTTATAATAATTATCCTTCAAACTGCTGTTGTTGATTAACTTAACGTCCATGTGCGTGATAGCGGCAACGCCGCGGTTCTCGACGTAGCGTATTATTTGAAATTCGCAGGTGTGACATATGGTGTATATTTCAAGCATCCAGGCATCCAAACAAAGCCAGCCAAGTGCAACGTTGCCAAATCTAAAGGCTTATCTACTTTAGTCACTAGCTCTCGTTAGACTTTTAGACGTACCTCCGTACTCGATAAACCTCAACAGAAATTTTTCGAATTTTGTTTTCCTTTGAATTATCAATCAAATAATATTAATTTTTAATGAATTTGACTTTTTTGAAGAAAAAATTTCCCTATTTTTTTGGATTTCTGCTTAGTTTAGTCAGAAATAATTATTTTTTAAATAATGTATGGCTTAGAACAGTAACTTTTTTTAACATTTTCACACAGTAGGCACCTTTCATGGTGACAATTTCGTTGTAATGATACTAATAATTGTCACTTTCGCGTGCTATCATTTTAATTCTTACGTTTCTTAGTTGTGATCTTTGTGCTTGACTTTGCATTTCACTCGATTTCTATTAAGAAGTTAGAAAACTATCCTTATTTATAACCGATTTTGATGAAACTTATGATAGTTAAAGACCCTTGCCTTATGGTATGATTATTACCTCGATTATTACCTACAATTTGCATTCCATTATTTTAATCAGAAAGTTATTTTAAAAAATATCCTCCTTTAGAGGGCCATATCTCAGTAACGGTGCTCCGGAGGACCAATGTTTATAAGAACTTTTTTTACTACTTTTGGCTCTATTTTCACTTCCTTAAATGTTGTACCAACTTTTCCAAACACGCTGTATATTACGTATAACATAAATATTATTAATTCAATTCAATAATATGAATTCTAAATAAAAAGTGTTAAATTTGTACATTTTAAGAATTCTGTAACGAAAAAACAATGTCTACGGATGTCAGTAGATATCCAGGTATGTCCGCGTTTTACAAAGAAAGAAAACGTACGGCAATTATTTCATACTTGACCCTTAACATCTTCACTTGTACACATTGAGTTATATAGGGCATGAATTTTGGTTATTTTTAGCTCAATCTGTGCCAGTTTGATTAGAATAATACATATTTATTTTGTCACTGATCTGATCACACTAACATTTATATTTTTCCAGGGTGAAAAAAGTTCAATCTTTGTTAAAACAAATAATGCCGATAGAGATGGAACCAAAGGCCCTCCGCTATTGGATTGTTTTATATCAGCGGTAAGTTTCATTTTTAATGGTACGCAGAAATCGATACTACTAACATTCTCACTTTAATAATTAAAGAACTATCTACATAAATATATGAATGAATTGGAAGCGAAGAGTTTATGCATGAGATCAACGCAATTATACCATTCCATTCTATACAATATTGAAAAAAACTTAATACGTTATAAGTTATTTTAATAACGGAACTCAACTCAGTGTATAATATTAAAATAATTATTAAAAAATTTTAGTTTTAGGTATAACCAAAATAGGTTTTCGTTTTTTATACCTCTTTTCTTCCTCTAAAAATAATCATAGTCGGGTAACTGTTACGTATACTAGAAACCTATTGTACCAAATTTCCTTTCTTTAGCACAATTTAATACACAACAGTTTACAAACTTTGACAATTTTGACACAATAACAAAACCTCTCTTCAAAAACTCTTTCTGCACACTAGCGCGGCCGTTTATACAGGGTAATTCATAACTTATCCGAAAAAAATTGAGAATAGATGCGTTATGAAAAATGGAGTCAATATAGTAAAAAAAAATTTTTTAGTTCCTTATAGAAAAAAAGATCCGAGAAAAAAGATTATTGAAGTTGTAGTATTTAAATCACTTACATCGCTGGGCTACTGCAGTCGCCCTCTCTCCACGTGGCCCCAGGCGATTCCGAATGCTGAAATCCGATGATAGTATAACGTTTTTACGATAGTGTTTACATTAGTTTTTCAAGTGTCAAAAATGGCTTACGTGTATAGCAACTCGGAGTTGATAGATATCGTTTTAATTTATGGTGAAGCAAGACAACATTTGTGTTATTTCGTAGAAACTGGGTACGACGGGCTCAAATGTGTTTACACGTCGGTGGACAAAATTTTGAACAGTTGTAACATCAGGTATGTCAAATTATTTAAGTAGCTATAAAATTATTAACATATAAAAACTATTCAGGTGGAAAACAAAACAGAGATATATTTTTTGCAATAGAAAAGAATTTTATGAAAGTAAAGGAAACTAATGAGTTATAAAAATACCTATTTAAGCTGCCCCCTTCGTTTAAATATTTGGTTTTTAAATTTTTTATAAAATTAATAAAAAGAGCAAGGAGTAATAAATTATGTACTCAGGTCAGCATCACAGCTTTATCAGTAGTAAATTTGCCCAACAACGTGGCACTCAACACATGTTATTTCAAGTGCCTGTGGTCATACGGAAAGTTAAATAACGAACAATACTTTCTTTTATTAAAAAACATAAACAATAATGTAATTCAGTATATGCATACTTGTATATGTATAAAAACGTTTAAAATAAATATTAATAAACATAAAGTAATAAGTATTAAACAGTGCACAAACACACTTATAAAAAACTGGCGAAAACCAAAAGACTCAATTTATGTTTGATTTAATCTTCATAATGATTGTATGTAACCTACTATTTAATAACGTGAATAATAAAATATTTCACTTCTACTGGAATAAATACAACCCCGAGTAGAAATTACCGTGAAGGACCAGCTTGGAAGTAGATTATTTAATTATGCAAATATTACATCAGTAGATATCGAACGATCGTTCTCTTCAGATTAAGATATTTTATTATCACCGCGAATAAGTTTCGCTGAAACAATGTAGAAACATACCTGATGATGCGATCTATAACAATTTACGTGTTTCACAATAATACAATGACATAAATGGTCCTTTCGTGCGCGGTCAATTATGACAGCTCTAATAATAACAATAGCGGCAAAGACAGTTGAATTTGCTTATATAAAATAGCTGTTATAAAATTTTATTTAATTTTTTCTTTAGGAAAGAAATTCTTTCAATTTTTGTCCGTTCATTTTTTATTACACTTTGTCGGTATACGACTGCATGCTTTGCCTTGCGCAAGGTCCCATGCAGAAGTATACTTTAAACCATTTTCGAGCTGCCCTTTTTGATTTTTTTTTACAAAATTGTATTTGTGAGACTTCCCTGTATATTCAAAAATTTTTTTTCGGATAAGTTCTGAATCACATAACTGCTGGTGTAGTTCGCGCTGTAAGTCTAGGGAAATTATTTTTTTTTAATTACAAATATTTATGGAGATATTTTTTTTAAGTTTATTACTACACAATAGCCTAGAGTGCCTAGACTATTATTATTTTAATTCAGAACAAATATTATCTTCATACTGAGTAGCTTATTAGCCCATTTTATTCTACTACAAAACTATAAGTATGAATTTGTAGTAGGTAACTGTTTCAGTGGTTTTTTCTTTCAGTGTGAACTGATCCTAAAAATTTTTATATCACTGAATTCAAAAACTATACCCAAACTAAGCCAATAATAACACAATAACCTTGTGTATTTTTAATTTCGTAATGTCAATTATGTCATGTGATTATTATCTGCATAATGTGAAATATTCGCGTAAATAATGATGATATGCCCAAAAAACGATTTATGATTTATTATTATCTATAGGGTGTTAATGAACTTATGTCAAATAGTTTTGTCCGGTATGTCAAAATGAGGTAATCACACGGATTGTGTTGAGTAAAATGTAATTTTAAAATCTGACGTACTTCAACATTGCAAGCAGTCACCTTTTGAGAATATGTATCCACCATTTGCTTGCACACAAGCTTCAGCGCGACGTATCCAATTCGCTCGCACGCGTTGCAACATTGCCACGTCCTCTCGAATCGGCAATCTTCGGAAATACGATGTCGCAGTTGGTCGATGCTACGAACATCTGTGGAATATACAACACTTTTTACATATCCCCACAAAAAGAAGTCTAAAGGGGGGAGGTCACCGGCTCACATATTCATTGAAACTATTGCTGAAAGGCACTGTGACGTATTTCGTATGTATTTTCGATAGTCCAGTGGTGTTGTGGACGTTATGTACACCATTTCGACTTTCGATTTCTTGCATGTTCCTGAAGCAACCACTCGCAAAAACCTCGACGTAGTGAAAAATCCTCAGGAGTAAGCGCTTGAACACGTTGAATATGAAATGGGTAGAATTGAGCTTCTCGTAATGTCTGCCACATAACAGGATGCGAAATATTTCTGGTGCTACGATGCGGATCGTCTTTGACGAGATCTAAAATCATCTCCTCGACATTTAAGATTCTTAGTGGTCGTCCTGAACCACTGTCGCGACTTCAACGCGATTGTACTTCACCGGTGTCCAAAACTCTTTGCGCTCCAGCAACAAATGTTCGCGGTGCGGGGGCACGTCGTTCAGGATATCTTGCACAGTACACTTGACAAGCTCTATGGGCATTTTCGTTTGCTTCGCCACGAGTGATAATATTCGCGATTGCTAAATAAATGCCATTTTCAAAAGAAAACTTGGAAATACGGCTATTACTACTACTACCACTCTCGAAAAACAGCACAGCAATCACTACAACAATGTATTACAAACTGATTTTCAAATACAGTCCTGCTTCATAAGAAACCTACAAACTCGTAAAAAGTGTACAGAATTTTTTGTAAGTATTCGCCGCGATAAAATACATGTATTTATGTAGTTCCAAAACAGTTTTAAATACAATTAGCTTTTATCTCTATGACCTTAAACTTCCAATACAAGTTTGTGACATCAGTTAACTCAGTTTTTGCCCCTTTTTCACCCATTTAAATTTTTGATATAAGTTCAGTAACACCCTGTATTTATGTGACTTGACCCGTTCTTGCACTAGTGTATAGTAAGAAATAAATGCTTTTATCTAATATGTCAGTTTCTGTTAACCCCGCAGATTCCATATTTGCACCATTAACTAATCCTAGTGGCACGAAGAGTCCTTTAATAAAGGTGTAATTTCATAGGTAAAAAACTATATCAGTAAAGAGGAAAAAAAACTCGGAAAAAACTATACCACAAATAAGGGGAAAATTTAGTTATACTATTAATAAATTACACTTGGGACAATAGTTAAAGGGTATAGAGCCGTCGGGTTGAGCCAGTCGAGTGGTGTAACATCTTAAAGGCTCCGAGAGCGGCAAATTTCAAATATTGTACGACTTGGGAATTATTTGTCAGAGTTTATATTCTTTTAGCACACCTTTAAGGCCTTAAGGAAAATCTAAAAATAAGTTATTAAATAAATTTGAATGAACCTGTTATGGGGCTTCGAGAAACAGAAGCTTTTTGTTGAAGAACTGCGGTTTTAGGCACGTAACTGATTCTTCGTCCAGCACATGCCCGGGTATTGGGTGAATGAATAGTATTTCTGGATTAGGAATTTCGGTTCATGACATATTAAATAAGCTTTTATCACGAACTTATTTGCTGTGTAGAGTGCGTAGATCTCGCTGTCCCCGGGCTATAAATTTGTGATTTAAACCGTCGAATGAAGAAGTTTAGCTGAGTTTTAGGTTTTAAAGTTTAGTTTTTAGTGATCATCCGATCCTGAAGGGCTGGAACAGTTGATTTGAATAACTAAAATTTCCAATTTTAGAAGTGACTATTGTCAATTTAAAGAAAACTGTATTTTATTTATTTTTGGGTGCCTAAATAAATACGTGCATCATTTAATGTCAAGTTGCAATTTATAAAAAAGTAAATAAAAATTAAGCTTTTTAAAAATGGCATTAGTATTCAAAAAACACATAATACTTGAAGGAAGTTGCGTGTTGCGCTATTTGAGAAATTTTTCTATTAGCATTGCTTATTATGCATAGTTATTTACTGACTAATTTATAATGCATTCAGCATCGGGTGTATAGACATTCGCATGAAAAAAGGTCAAGAGAATGTTGTGACGCAAATGAACGATTAATATGTCAATAAGGAGGACCGGCTCGTAATAAAATTGATGGTATACCTATTAAATGTTTTTAATTGTATTTTATGTACCTACTGCCTTTTTATTTTTTATTTCGCAGCAACTTTGAGTAGCTACTTATATTAATAAAATTTGATATTTTATTTTTGTAAATTTTTAAATATGTATGTAGATATACAGATGTATATTTAAATATGTATGTTCGCAAAAAGC